TCTTGTATAAAGTTTTGGATTTTTTTTAAATTATAGCCAATAAGCCAAAACCCGGTATTTATGATTAAAAACCATAACCGAATCAAAACCTTCCAACCTGATCCATAATAAATACTGGCAGCTATATTCATAAAACCAAAAAATTCGAAATTAAATTCAAAACCGAACCGGAATCGGGATTAGATATCCATAATCAAATAAACAAAATAGGGAACAAGATTCAAATCTTTCACTCGTTTCAAATGCTGTTTTTCTCAAGTGTGTGTTTTAAGCAATTTTTTGTTTGTTTTAAAGGTTTATAAAAATTTACCCCATCACTAGCCAAGATGATGAAGTGGTCTTTAGTAGAGATATGTCTTTGAGTGACTTCAGGAACTGAGACCAATCCATACTCTTTGATACAGTAGTCTCCGAACGCTCTCGACATTGCGAGCCCCGGTGTTTCTGCGTCCGGCTGCCATACACGGTGGACTCCCGGCTCATCTTTGAGACAGAAAACCCGCCCGTTGCATCCGATTATCCGCTCTTCCTCCTCTGTTTTTTTTCCGCAGCAAACAAACACAAGAATCAATATTCAAGAGTTTTCTGGAGTAGGATTCATATTTTTGCTTGCTACTCTGAGTTCTAGGACCACAGAATCCGAAACTGACGAGATTTAGTTAGGTAAATTCAATCAGAAAAATGCTTGTGGATTTTCAGAGGGATTCAGAGAACTAACGAGGCAAATTTGGTTTGAAATCGAGGGTGAGCTGAACCGCAACCAAGCTTCCTTCATCTGAAACCGTGGCTAGTACCGCCCGTGAATCGCCAACATTCGCCACATAAATAACTTCACCCTACACACAGCAAGAAACCATTAATCAGTGAACAGATATATTCTCAACGATGTTTACTAACAATAGGAAAAGTACTATCCTTATAAGTTTTACCTGTCTAACCATTGTTAGAGCGGTAGTACCGCTGTAGTAAGAATCGATCTTGCGATGATGTTCAAGCTCTTGATCAACCGTTGCACATGTCTTGAGAAACGAATGTTTCCAAATGTCGAATCTCGAGAGATTTTTAGTTGAGCCCTCAAGGTCGAGCTCGGGCTCTAGTAGCGTGGCTTGAGCAAGAGTCTTTTGCCAGTTGCAGAGAAGCGACGAAGGCATCGAGTTTCTTACTTGTTTGGATACATAGTGACCCCATGGACCGTGTCCATCGAATATTCCGCAGAATATCATGTCTTCTTGGCACCCAAATCCCTATTTACCAAAGTTGAATTTATCAAAATGCTGATTGATGGTCAAGCCCCGCCTTTGAAGAAGCTAAAGAAAATGCAAACACAGGAAAGATAACATTTTTCTGGCAAAATGAAAGCACGAAATCGGCTTTTTGATAGTTCTACATAGGGATGCTCAATCTAGTCTTATCCTATCGGAACCCAACAAATTGATCTGATAATCAAATCATAAAGAAACAAACACAAATGCAGAAAGAAAGAAAAACGCGAAAACGTTAGTAACTTTAAGAGAGTAGTCATGTTACCTCCCAAACGATGGCACAGTCCTGGTTAACGCCTTTTTCGCCGCGTTTGGAGAAAACAGAGGCCGAGTTATTCGATCCTTGTGCACAAACATAACCAGACGATTTCAGAATCAGCTCCTTCTTCTTCGCCTCTTTCGCCATCTCATCAGCAGCTTCCATTGCGTCGCTACTTCCATTGTTGTTCTTCACTTTCTTCATCGAGAAGGATCGAGCTAACCCATTGAACATCGACGAGAAATGTCCCATTTTTTTATATGCCCTATAAAGAATGAAAGTTCCAATGAACTAGCTAGAGATAACTTCAAGGTCAAGCTTAAGATGATCTCGAATCTGAAAGAAAAAGAAAACAGAAATTGTTTAGATACTTGGATAGTTTAAAGAGCTAAAGAG